ATTTTTTCTATATATTTTTAGTTGTCCAATTAATTTCTTTCTATTTTTAGTAGAGACGGGGTCTTGCTCTTGCTCAGGCTGGTTTTGAACTCCTGGGCTCAAACAATCCTCCCGCCTCGGCCTCCCAGAGAGCTAGGATTACAGGTGTGAGCCACCGCGCCCAGCCAACAACAAAAATTTTAAAATCAAAAGCAAAATGAAACCAATGAACCTAACTGTGCCAAAGAGATGCAGAGAGCACGCAGAGAATGCACATGTACTCTGTTAGTGAAGAACTATTTCGAGAAATATCAGTCATCATTTGTAAAACATAGTAATTTGATTAAACATCTCAAGACATATTCTCTGAGAACAAAAAATAAAACTCATACTCTATTTTCAGTAATCATATTGCAGGGGTACTAGGCACTGTTGGTATTGTTTTCTTAGTATTATTACGCCTATATCGTGGGTGTAGAAATAAATTATGTTGATGCCACTGAGAACCGAGATCGTCAGTGTGGGAGACAGGAGATAGAGATGTCAGATCAGGAAGGTTAAGTAAACACCTTATTCCCGAACTTGCACTAGAGATCACAGGATACACTCATGATACACTTTCTCTTAGGACAAAGAAAAAAGCATTTTGTACCTCAATCAGTTGGAAAAAGTTTCTCTTCGTACAAGTATTCCAGTTAAGAAATAAGAAGGAAAGACTGAAATAAACTATCACCGCTTTCCAACCCTGGAAGAATTAATGCCTCACGCATTGGCCACCGATAATCACAAAACCCGAGACCACCGGAGACCACAGGCTTTCTAAGAGAGGAGCACACCACCATCTATGAGTAGCCTTGCCCCCAAATCAAATCTGTATCTAATTTAAATGCTCTGGTATGTGCGGGTCCCTGCCTTCAAGGAGATTGCGTCCTAGGAGACAGGGCTCAGGTTGCTTTTTTGCAGCACTCTGTGATACTCACTTTCATCTCTGCCCTGGTTCGGCCCTTCCAGGTGACGCAGAGCACGCTTTTGCCACTTCTCTCAACCTCCTCACACACCCCAACTCCCCTCATAGCCTTTCCTAAAAGGCTCCTCTCCCTGTCCTATTGATTTAATTATATATATATATATATATATATATATATATATATACACACACACATTTTTTTTTAGACAGTCTCACTCTGTTGTCCGGGCTAGAGTGCCGTGGCGTCAGCTTAGCTCACAGCAACCTCAAACTCCTGGCTCAAGCGATCCTCCTGCCTCAGCCTCCAGAGTAGCTGGGACTACAGGCATGCACCACCATGCCCGGCTAATTTTTTATATATTTGTAGTTGTCCAGCCAATTTCTTTCTATTTTTTTAGTAGAGACGGGGTCTCGCTCTTGCTCAGGCTGGTCTCGAACTCCTGAGCTCAAACGATCCGCCCGCCTCGGCCTCCCAGGGTGCTACGATTACAGGCGTGAGACACCGCGCCCGGCCTTACATGTCACCTCTTAAAGGTCCCTGAGCACCGGATAGTCCATCTTGTCACTTTACTTCTCATCACCCCTGTCAGTTTGCATATTTGAGTGTCTTTCCCCTTTTAAAACAAAAGCTGCAACAGGGAAGGGGTTTGTGTCATAGCCTGCTGTCCACTCAACCCCCAGACCTAGGCCTGGGCGTGGCGCACGGTAGGTGATCAATACATATTTGTTGGCTGCTCTGAATTTTCTAACCAATCCCCGTCTTGGCTGACATATGTTTAGTAAGCAAGTTCATGAAACACTAGCAATCGGCTTTATTAAACTCCATATGAAGAGAAAGCTAAGAACAGTTCACATTAAACTTCACTCTTTGATATTCATATGGAACCAAAGTAACATAATACAGAGTAGTTCCTAGTCGCGAAGGAAAAAACACTCACCGTGCAAGGGTAGGACCAGTCCGTCATCCTCTAACCCGGTGGCCCATCTTAGCATACCACTAATGGGGCACGTATCTATGATGCAATATAATGTATTTTGGCCAAAAATATTTCACTTAGAACTATAAACTCTTAGGAATAACTTGCACCCTATTCCTTCATATTATCTAGTACAAAGGGACAAGGTAAACAAGATGAAATAGTCACACAGATCCTGAAGATCAGACATTCTATTAAGATTTGTGTGGAATCTTCCATAATTCAGTGACATGAACAGGAGGGTGCTGTTCAGAAGAGGGTCTAGAAGGCATAACCAGATGAAATGCATAGATCTGGAATGGCTCTTGCTGTGTCCTGTAAAGGAGATTTTTAGAACAGATGGAAAAATGTGGATTGATTATTAGAGGAAAATATACTGTCATAGAGAGGTGGAGATTGGATCAGGTTACGTAGGAGTAAGATTTCATGTTAGTAAAAATTCATCTATCCATCTGCATGGAAAAATATACACTAAAATGTTAACAGAAACCTCTGGGTGTTGGAAGTATGACGTTATCTGTGATTATCTAAATCTCTATTATACATGCATTTTGCTCTTGTAATAACACGATTGTTTTGAGTTTCAAAGAAACTATTTTTAGATTAAGAAATTAAGTTTAATTTTGGAGTGCTGATAACGTTACACCTTTTCTGTTCAAATGAAAAGTTTGTGTCTTTAAACTAGGTAACCTGGGCAGATTTCTACTGGGATATTTGCAGTACCACACTTTTGGTCTTTAAACCTGACTTGTTGGACATCCATCCCAGGCTGGTGGCTTTACAGAAGAAAGTCCAAGCCATTCCTGCCATCGCTGCCTGGATACGACGGAGGCCCCAAACCAAACTCTAGCGGGTGCACACGGCCTTCAAGCTCGGTGGTTCTTCCCAGCGTCTCTCCCGGGAAGACAGCTACAGTCTGCTACATAATCCACACTCCCCTCTCCAGCTCCATCAAGACTTTCACTTTAGCCATGTTCTGCTTAACAAAGGAAACAAACCAACCTGCATGTCATTTCCATTATCTTTTTTTTTTTCCAGAATAACTTCACATCATTTCTAATCAAAGAGAAATAGTTTGTAATACCTTGCTTTACAGTGGTTCCAACATGCATGAATTTTACTCACAATGGGTAACACCAGTTTCCAAAAAAAATGGTTTGCACTTCTGCGACCGTAGTCTATTAACTGTAATTGCATGAAATACAAACTTTGCTGCTGGTTTGTCAGTCCACAAATCACTACGTAAATAACAGATGCACATCATGACTGATGACCAATGTTGTCACTTCTTTCAGACTGCCAGTGATGGGTCACTGTACGTCTGTGATTCACGCATAGACAGCAAGGTGTGTAGTTTTGTACCGTCTGCTTGTTTCCGAGTGATACATCTGTTTGACATTTCACAAAAGTGAATAATCAAAAGAGGGGACTCACCGACAAAGATGAAAGCACAGCAAAAGAACAAAAAGCGATAAAGCTGGAGAGATATTATCCAAAATACACAGAGAACTCTCAAAATTCAACAAGAAAACAACCTGATTAAAAAAATGGGCAAAAGACTTCAACAGACCTCACCAAAGAAGATATACAGGTAGCAAGAAGCAGATGGAGAGGTGTCCAGTATAATGCCATCAGAGAATTGCAAATTAAAATGAGATACCACTACATACCAATTAGAATGGTGAAAATCCAAAGTACAGACACCACCAAATGCTGGTGAGGATGTGGACCAACAGGAACTCCTGTTCGTTGCTTATGAGAATACAAACGGTTATTGCCACCTTGGAAGACAGTTGGCAGCTTCTTAACAAAACTAAACATATTCTTACCCTAAGATCCAACAATTGCACTCCTTGATATTTAACTGCAATGACCCGAAAACACGTCCACACAAAAACCTGCATATGAGTATCTACAGCAGCTTTATTTACAACTGCCGAAGGTGGAAACACGAAGGTATCCTTTAATAGGTGAATGGACTGATAAACTGTGGTACATCCAGACAACAGAATATCATCCAGTGCTAAAAAGGAATGAGCCATTAAGCCAGGAAAAGACATGGAGGAACTCTAAAAGCATACTGCAAAGTGAAAGAAACCAATCTGAAACGGCTATGTACCGTTGGATCCCAACAACGTGATATTCTGAAAAAGACAAAACTATACAGACAGTAAAACAATCAGTGGTTGCCAGGATTGGGGAAAGAAAGGGATAAACAGGTGGTACTCAGAAGTTTGGGCAGTGAAACTAACTATTCTCTGTGATTATCATAATGGTGGACACATGTCATTATACATTTGTTAAAACCCACAGAATGTACACCACCAAGAATGAACCGTAAGGTAAATTGTAGCCTTTGGTCACAATGATGTGGCAACAGAGGTTCAAGTCTAACAGATTTATCAATCTGCTGCAGGATGCTGATAGCAGGGGAGGCCACGCATGTGTGGACAGGGGATATATGGGAACTTTTGTTCTTCCTGCTCAATTTTGCTGTGAACCTAAAACTGCTCTAAAAAATAAAGCCTATGGGGGGGAAAAAAAAAAAGAACAGAGATTAAAATGTTGGAGGCTGATCCAAACCTAGAAGTTATGCAAATTTGCCAGGGTATAAAAAAGATGCTCACTTGTAAGTGATACAAGACAGTACCAAAGTGCTGTTGATAATTTTTTTTTTTTTTTTCTATATATATATTTTTAGTTGTCCAGATCATTTCTTTCTATTTTTTAGTAGAGATGGGGTCTCGCTCTTGCTCAGGCTGGTCTGGCGAGAACTCCTGACCTTGAGCAATCCACCCGCCTCGGCCTCCCAGAGTGCTAGGATTACAGGTGTGAGCCACCGCACCTGGCCCTATATATATATTTTTAGTTGTCCAGATCATTTCTTTCTATTTTTCAGTGGCGATGGGGTCTCGCTCTTGCTCAGGCTGGTCTGGCGAGAACTCCTGACCTTGAGCGATCCACCCGCCTCGGCCTCCCAGAGTGCTAGGATTCCAGGTGTGAGCCACCGCACCTGGCCCTGTTGATAATTTTTAAAAATAAAATCCTTATCCACGGGGGGCTATGTTCCAAGACCCCTAGCGGATGCCTGAAGCATCGTATGGAACCTTGTATATACCACGTTTTTCAATCTGATAACCGAGACACCCACTAAGTGACTAACGGGTGGACAGCGTAGACAGTGTGGACACGCTGGACAAAGGGATGATTCATGTCCTGGGCGGGAAGGGATGGAGTGGGAAGGCACGAAATTTCATCATGCTATTTAGAATGAATAAAACCAATGAACTGCTTATTTCTGGAATTTTCCATTTAATATTTTTAGACCACGGTTGACCGCAGCTAAGTGAAACTGAAGATAAGGGGGACTACTGTATTAATCTTACTATTTTTTTCCTTTACTTCTACATTCGTAACCAGCAATAAGAGTGTTTTTAATGTGTTGACAAGATTTTTCAAAGGTCACGATAATCACAATTTTCCCCAGTGACTATTATTTTCAACAATTTTGACTTCAGTCATTTTTACAATTCCATGCTACTGTGGAAAACAAGCACTGCCTATATAAATGAGTCCTTTAAACTGAATCTTCCAGATAACATTCAGATTATCCCCCAGAAATCCATTTAAAAATATAATATCAGAACATCAAATTTTAGTTTAATTTATATGTTAATATGACAACATTGTACTGTTAGTATGTCACATAATATATGGAAACACACTAATGAATCAGATGCTGTTACACTTGAAATGCAGTGCAGAGGAAAGAGAATACAGACTAGAGAAGCCAAATAAGAGGAGAGGGTGTGGGGGAGAAAAAGAAAAGAAAAGAAAGAAAAGAAAAGAAGAAAAAAAGAAAAGAAAAAGAAAGAAAAGGAAAAGCCCAGATAGGTATGATCTTACGTAAGATGTTTCTTATCTCCCAACAATGTTCTATAAAATTAGAGACAAATGTTAAATACTTTATAAATTATTAAGGATTACACATAAAAAGAAAATACATTTCCCAAGTACCTTGATTCTTTGCATCGAATTTTCTTGACGTTAGTGACCGTTAACAAATGATAATAGGATGTAAGTGAATCTCATTATGATGCCCTCCATCATGTAATCAAGGCGGTATAAAGAAATAATTACCTTTAACAAAAATTCAAATAATACTCTCAATAATGCAGGCAATAACTTTTCTTCCCTCTTATGCATGGTTATTTTCCTCCTCATTATTGAATTCTTTTTTTGTTTGTTTGTTTTGAGACAGGGTCTCACTCTGTAGCCCTGGGTAGAGTGCAGTGGCATCATCAGAGCTCACTGCAACCTCAAACTCCCGGGCTCAAGCGATTCTCCTGCCTCAGCCTCCCGAGTAGCTAGGACTATAGGCAGGTGACACTATGCCTGGCTAATTTTTCTATTTTTGTAGAGACTGGGTCTCACTATGTTGCTTAGGCTGGTCTCTAACTCTGGCCTCAAGTGATCTTCTTGACTCAGCCTCCCAAAGGCTAGGTAGGATTACAGGCATGAGCCGCCACGCCTAGCCCACATTGTTAAATTTTGACAGGCTTTAATGAAAACAGAATTTAGTAAAAGTGATAAAGCCAATGCTTATACAAAATTATGAAAATTCAAAGTAAGACAATCAGTCCTATGTGTTTATACAAATCATAATTCAAATATAAAATGTAACCATAGCAAGTTTCATAAGGAAATATTTAGCACCATCATAACCTTTAGGTCATCTTTTTGCGATGAAGGAGAACATATTTCTATTTCATCCTGTACCCAAATTAAATGTGTTCTTGCTTACAGAGAAAGAGGGAAGTGGCTGGGTGGGGGAATCAGAGCAGAAATTGCATTATTTATAATTAGGAAAAAAAATCATTTGAGGAAAAAAGTTAGAAGAATCAACTCCTTAGTTTTATAGACTGTTTAAAGGTTGCACATAAGGTCACACAAATGGAAACCGAATCTCCTCATACCTCTATCTCTCTACCATACAGTAACACTAATGCTAGGAACAATAGTAATGTTTCAATATAAATATCTACTGGCATAAAGTTATAAGTCTATGGGGTTCCAAACCAGTTATAAAAACAAAGGCACCTTTATCGCTGTGTGACTTGCATTAAAAAAAAGGTCACTTCACTTGGTCAAGATATTACTCCAACAACTGTGGCTTCATTTGCTCCTTGCTGATCATGATCACAGTATTCACTGGCATCGGCCCTATGAAGGGAATAATGAGAATACATCCTAAGTAAGAAATTCTAATTTATTGATAAACAATCATAATCACATAAGATAATACCATTTGTGCTATTTTTAAGGGTAAGAAGGAGGGTTATAAATATTCAAAAGGGTGTGAAAATACAACTTAAGATCACAAATACTTTTATTAAACCCAAGACATAATTAGAGCATTACACGAAGAACCCAACTACATATCATCAGATAAAAATATGGATATAACAACAACAAAAGAAATAGCCTATCATTGAAAATACATTAATACAAAAAAGTTATGAGAAATCCATCACGAGATTTTAAAAAAGTAATGTTCCCAATGATTTGACTAAGTCATCTGGGTACGGTGATGTACTAGGAGGTAGGATTAACGTTTGAAGAGTCCTTTTAGTCCTGTAACGCTAAACTATATTGAGTCTGTTCAATATACCTTCAAGATTGGGTTAAGTCTACTAAGCCATGAGTTCTCAGAATCTATAGTATCTAAATAAGCACTATGAGAACTTCATTCACCTTCTAAATGCAGAGGGTTAAATTACCTAGCCTCTTCACAAGTTAGGATGCCTTGAAAAGTATGATCTCCAAAAATTAACAAATCTTTCATTTATAAATAAGTTTATTTATAATGATATTTACATAGTAAAAACAAAACACTTGAAACTCACAAGTTATACAAAGAAACCGATGTATAATAAAAACAGCAATATAGACTGACAGGCAGAAAGTTAAAGAAAGATTTAATAAAGAGTTAAATATCAAATAGACAACTTTACTTCTTCTAACTTTCACTTTGTCACCCACACTGAATTGGAATCGAACAATGGCTCTCTCTTTAGGCGGTCCTGTACTGGAAATTCTGGAAACTGGCAAATTATATTTGGATAAGAGTTTAAAGGTAATGACCTATTTCCATGCAGTACCTAATGCTGCCTTAATAGGAAGTCACTTTCAGTCTGCTCTGAAGTGAAATAGCTTTAAGGTAATCTGTTCTGCCAGGCTAGAAAAATGTCGCCGACATCTTGCTGATGCGTGGAGTTGTGGCAGGAATCAACTGCTATTTAGAGAGGAAGAGAACTGGAGCAGAAGTGACTGGGCAACAGTTTCAAGAGAAGCAAAAGCCAGGAGAGGGAAATCAATGAAAACATGCACAAGATTAGGCAGAGTAATAAGCACAATTAGTGCGGTTGGGAAATGAACGGAAGGAATTAATCCATGGAGCAGGATATGGGCTTCTTTCGTTACTATTCACTGGAAAACAACTTAGTGCCTAGCCAAACAAATGTGTTTTAACAGAAGTATCTGAGAGGACCTGGGGGGTGTCAGTATATGGAATGCCACCTTTAAATTCAGGTTGAGTTCTTGTTGACATTGGTGAACATCTGCTTCAAATAGCAATAAAATGAAAGCTATATAACCTATACAGTTGCAGTTTTAACTAACGTAATAAAAAAGAACTTCAAATGAGACGAGCAAAAACAAGACATAAGCATTGTCAAATAAGGCACATGTAAAAATCTACACACATTATCCAGTGAAAGACAATATATATATATATTTGGAGGTAGAAATAATTACAAAAATACTGACATTTCTAAAGCGTTAGCGTATTTGTTACAAACAATCACCAACTAATCCCCATTCAGAAAACTGCTTTGTAAAATGATTATTCAACGTCTTCAGGACTTCATATTTGTGGCTTTTTTTGAAATTTCACGTGTGAGCGTCTGGAGAATTCAGTTAGTGGCAAAAAAGTTTTCCATACTATGAGAAATGCAATATGGAAATTATAAAAAGTTATAAATGTCCATAAACCCCATGGTCATCATAATGTAAATGTCCTTGAGTGCACCAAGTTGATATTTCCTCATCAATTAGGAATTCGCAATTCTTGTTTCACAGGCCCATTGACGTTTTTAGTAACGTGGCTATATCCGCTGGCATACTCCCTTCATCACCTGCAGGTTGGAAAGTGGCATGAAAACTTTTATAAAAATATTTCACTTTGTAGAATATATTTTCTCTCTCAATTTTTTCTTTCGTTGGTAAATTCCTATTCATCTTTCAAGGACCAGTTTACTTCAGTGTCACTCCCTGTTAAAAACTTTCCCTGACTCCTACATATATTAGGGTTATTTCCTGTGCTCTTGTTCATCTTCCCAGCATAGCAACCTAAGGTTATGTTTCTGATTTTATATAGATATAAATACATAAAGATACATAGATATAGATAGTTTGGATCATATCTAATTCATATAGTACATGGTACTCACCTCTCGTGTTTGCTAATTGTAAGAAAAACATTATATAATAAACTGAGTAGGGAAAACAAAGACAACAAAGTCCCCAAATCCAATCAAACCAAAAATAATTTAATCTATACCCCTATTTTTGATCTAAAGATACAATCACTTACTTAGACCCACTCTACACACACAAAAGCATTTATACCAGTTGAAGATTAAATTAACCACTGCAAATTACCTTTTATTTATCCAATGTTTACCCCATATTTTAATTAAATGGGACCCCAGTATCTAGACATTTACAGAAATTGTTTGAGATGTTTCTAAGACACCCTGTGGCATGGTGACATAGAATCTATCATCTCTGATCAATTCAATTCAGCACTCAATATTTTTAGATGAACTGATGTGTTAATTTACTGGTTAGTAATGACGGGCACCGGCTGGCAACTCACAAATATTTGCTGACTTGTTACAGATATGTAGCTATGAATAATTTTATAAATTAGATGTGGCTAAAAGACGGCAAAATAGTCACTTCTCTCTCTGTCCCTCTCTCACAAACATGTACCCCAGTTACAATCTAAAATTACAAGAGTTCTTTCAGCTACTCTTCTTTTTTCTGTAAAAAACACATATCTACACAGGAACACAAAATACTACATAAACTCTTAGGGAGTTCCCTAATACCCTCGCCTCCAGGCTCTTGAAAATAGCCCATGAAACCCAAGTTGACACTTGTCCTAAATTGCATTAGGAGGAATGGGGGGAGAGAAGGAAACAAAGAAAAGAGTAATGAAAAATTTAAACATATAATACAACAAAATGCAGTGGTTTAAAAAATGCATTGGTTTTAAAAAAAGCAACAAAGGACAATAAGAAGACAATTGAGAGAAATCTGGATACGAGCCATATATGATAATATCTGGAAATTACTGTTAATTTTCTTGGATGCAATAATGGTACTGTAGCAACTTAGACCAATATAGTGTAAGACTGAAAAGAAGTTGCCATGTTTATAACTGACTTTGTAATGGTTCAGTGGGGAAAAAAGGTAGATGAAGCAAATGCTACAAATGTCCCAACTGTTCAGTCACTGTACTTTCATTCATACTATGCTTTCAACATTTTTGGATGAAAATTTCTGTAATAAAAAGGTTTAAGTGGAAGAAAATTTATCAATATAATTAATCGTATTAAGGGAGACAGGGGAAAAAAAAAACAACAACCAGAACGCCATCTTTATTTTAAAGAAGTGTTTCTGATTTTAGCATGTATCAGAATCACCTGGAAGGCTTGTTAACTAAAGTTTATTGAGTTCCATCCCCAGAGTTTCTGATTGAGTAAGTATAGGATGGAGTTTGGAATTTGCATTTCAAACTGGTGATTTCCCAGGTGATGCTGCTCTTGCTGTTGGTGCAGGGACTGTACTTTGAGAACCACTTAGGTAAGCTCTAGAGACACAAAAGTCTGATAAGCATATCTGAGAGGAATGATGGTCTTTAATCTTCCACAGCTGCATGGACGAGGCAGCATACACAGTGTTAACATAAAGCACACACACAGTCAACTACAAATATACCTTGTGTTTACAGAGGTAGACCACACTGTGAGAGACGGAAAGAAGGGCACACATGTACTCTCAACAGTTCAGTGTCAAAATTATTTAAATGAAACCAGAGGCACAGCTGAAGACAAAGTTACTGCAGTTAAGAGACGAAATAAAAGACATCATTGTATCCTTAGCCTATCAAATAAAACACACACTAGGAAAAACTAATATACAAATAGCTTTAATAAGACGAAGGAAGAAAACTTCCTACAGATGGGAAGAGTGGTGATTCTTTATAACTAAACATTTCAAAGCTCGTGGTCTGGGAGCAAAGCTGAAATGCGTTGCTATTTTAATGGACATTTGAGGTAAAATCAATAGGCAAACTTTTACACTGACCAAGTTTATATAAGTACAAATAATTTACATAAATTATGACTAAAAATGGTTGAATGTACACATCACGTCTGCTCCCATCTGAAATGCCATTAAAATACCAAGGAGGAGAAAAGCACGGGGGGGTCATTAACTAAAGAGAAAGAGCAGGAGAAAAAGACGACAACAGAGAGACAGCTATCAACACTTTTCAGAAGAAGAAGTATATGGCAGAATGGAAACTGACATTAGCAAAATAGACAAAGCAAAACCTTATCCCATCTCCCCCCTCAAAGCTCAGGAAATGGGGGAGATGGGAAACATGAAACTAAGAACACGTCGAAGGGGTAAAACACCTAAAGCTTGCCCAGCAGAACCAGCCATTTAGCCCAGAGGCACAAAACTGAAGATTTACTCTTTGGAAAATCTGAATCGGAAGAACTCTGGACTTGGGATAGTAGAGAACGTAAGAGGATGTACTGAAAACAGGGGAATTAACTGTTTGAATATGAGAACAGACATCCCTCGCCCACTTGCTATCGGCTCTGAGAATACAGTCGGTTGGCTCATACCACCTCTCCCCACTATCTTCGCTTCACAAGGGACTGGAAAGTGTCCCTCTGAGGAAATGAACTAGCCCATGAGAAAAGACCTACAGTTAAAGACAGAAGTCTGACAATCAAAAGCTGAGTCCCTGAATAATTAACTGTCATGGTTATATTTAGAAACTTATTGTCAGGATAAAATCCATATATCTGGATATTTACCAGCATTGCTAAAAGAGAATTTAATTGCTTTATTAAATTCTAAAAGCTGCCTTAAAAAAAAATCAGGAAAAAAAAAATTGCCCAAGTAGAATCTGCCTTATGCATTTGGCACTGTTGTGTTTGCTAGATACTGGAAACTAGCAAGTTGCCAGGTCCAACACGACGCCTAGTAATTACTGTTAATTATTTAAGTTATGATCATCCTACTTATCCTCTCCCTTAAAGGTCTAAATTGCTTCTTACTCCAACTTTCTCTAATGCCTGACTTCCCAAGATCCCACAGCACCCTGAAATAAATGCTATATAAGACAGAAAAGTATTAACTTGATCATACACATCTCTCTTTAAAGACATATTAAAATGTATTAATCT